CATCCTTCACAGTCAAGAGAAATGCTGGTATTTTGGCAGTTTACTTATAATGCCTGACGTGTGCCCTTTTCTCAGCCTCCCACGTTAAATGCCTGTGTGAAGAAATGGAGAAGAGTGATACGGGGAGAAAAGAGTCAGAAAGGATCACTCCTCTCTTTGGCCTTTTGGGTCACACCCAGTGATGCTCAGGTGTTACTCCTGGCTTTGCACTCAGGAATTCCTCCTGGAGGTGCTTAGGGGACCATATGGGATGCTGGGAATCGAACCCGAGTTGACCGCATGGAAGGCAAACGCCCTACCTGCTGTGCTATTGCTCCAACCCCAGGATCATTCCTCTCCTGCCTGGTACTGACTATCCTTCAAATCACTCAATGGAGACCTCCCAGTGCAGCACAGAAGAGATACTACAGAGGGAAGGGTGCCTGACTTGCACATAGCCTACCTAGGTTTGACCCCCAGTCCCCAAGTGGTCCCCAAGTACCACCAACAATAATTCCTAAACACAGAACCAGGAGTGACCCTCAGCATTGCCAGGTGCCCCCCAAATAAAACAAATAAGAAAACCTCCCAATTCACAATTAGGCCTGTACTCTGGAGAATTTGGCTGATTTGGGATTATGACATTCTAAAAATTGTATTTTTTACAGAATTTCTTAATTTTTGAATGTCTTTATGAAATATAAATGATACTGGCTGGAGCGATAGCACAGTGGTAGGGCATTTGCCTTGCATGCGGCTGACCCGGCCGACCGGGGTTCAATTCCTCCGTCCCTCTCAGAAAGCCTGGCAAGCTACCGAGAGTATCCTGCCTGCACGGCAAAGCCTGGCAAGCTACCCATGGCATATTCAATATGCCAAACACAGTAACAACAAAATGGAGACATTACTGGGCCCGCTCGAGCAAACTGATGAACAATGGGAGGACGTGCTTACCTCTGGCATAAAATTTCAACGTAAGTTTTATTTAGCAAGCACATTAGAGGAAAACACATACCCTCCCAAACTACTGTGCAAATTTGAACATATTAAGTCATAATTTTGGAAGGGTGAGTTTTTAAACAAAACTATAAAGAAAAAGTTGACTGAGGTAGCCTTACCATTTTTATTGTTATATGATGTAATAGTGGCAAGCAAAATTTTTCAAATTCAAAACCGAAATAAAAAATAGAATACTAAATTAATGTAATAAATATTTAATTGCATTTATATGCATTTTTGACCATCTACACTACTACTTTCATTGGGGATAGTAGGTCTTAATAGCATTGCAAAAGGGGCTGGAGCAATGGTACAGTGAATATGGTGTTTGTCTTGCACACGAATGACCCAGGTTCAGTCCCTGGCATCCCACATGGTACCCTGAGCACCACAAGGAGTAATTACTGACAGCAGAGCCAGGAGTAAACCCTGAGCAATGCTGGGTGTGACCCAAAACGTCAAAAAAAAGTAGCCTGGAAAAATGAATATCAGTACATATACTTAACATGTTGTTAAGTATAAAGAATATGTATCATTCACTCTTTCTGCTTCGTGAGAGTCAGCTTGTGAAACAGCACAAGGTTCAGACTTAGAAGATCCCTAAGCTTTAAGTGCTCACTGGCAAAAACCTTGAAATGTTTAACATTTTTTGCAAAAGAAACCCTAGCTTTCATTTTGTACTGGACCCTGAAAACTGCACATTGTCCTACACTTATGTCATAAACTACCTATCTACAAAGCAATAAAGAATAGCACAGTGGTAGGGCGTTTGCCTTGCACACAGCCAACATGGCCGATCCAAGTTTGATTCCTCCGCCCCTCTCGGAGAACCCGGCAAGCTACCAAGAGTATCTCGCCAGCAAGGCAGAGCCTGGCAAGCTCCCCGTGATGTATTCGATATGCCAAACACAGTAACAACAATGTCTCCAATGGAGACATTACGGGGCCCACTCGAGCAAATCAATGATCAACGAGAGGGCCTTATGTGCCAAAGAATACCATTATGCTTAAGATACAGCTCTTGTTCTGATAATTTTATAGCCTAGAAGTATAAATAAGTTCAGTAGGCAGAATATCATAAAAGTAGAAAATGAGACTGATGGTAGAAACAGAGGAGAGGTTGTCTCTCAGTGGAATGAGGTCAACATCGGGGGAAGAAACAGCTTTTGGATCTAAAAAGAATTGAGAGCTGTGAGTAACATGGTTAATAGGAGAATGGCAAGACAGACCAGGTGCCATATAAAAAGCACTGGGAAAGCCTGTGCACACAGAATCATTTAGTTAGCCTGGGGCAGGAAGAAATCAGGCTGATAAACAGCACGCTGGATTGGCTGTGTAAGGGTCTGAAGTAGCCAGCCAATTAAGTTGTCCATAATTCAACAGAACCTGGAGGCTGTTAAAGGTTTACAGCAAGTCAATTGGAATGGGCGTAAGGGGGAGTGTAGTGGGGAGGTGGAGTCCACTCCCAGCTGTGCTCAGGGGCCCATGAGCCTTCTGTAAGAAAAGCATGTACTCCGGTCCTTTGAGTCAGACCCACACAACAGCCATTTAGCAGTACAGCTACAGGCAGCGATGGTCATGCTGCCAGCTCTCTGGACAACCAGTCCTGTCCTACGTTCAGAATTAGTGAACCTCTTGGTTTACAGAGTGGCCAAATGAAAAGACATATTAAAGTAGTGCCTACCTCTTTTTCATTCAACAAGTTCAACTCTAAACTTATCAATCAACAGGAGTAGCTGAGGTAGTTGGGTAGATTAGCTTATTACTTAAGATTTAAATTGTCAGTACACATAACACAAATGTAGGTAGCTCTGAAAATAATAAAACAAAGTACTTCACACCACATACCCACACAGTGAGACATTTCCTTTTCCTGGAATAATGCCTTTAAGAGGCATTTTTTTTCAAGTCACATGACAATATTGGCACTCATCCATTTCTTTGTGAAAACAAACTGAAGAAAGTGGAAATCAACGAAACCAACAGTGTCAAATCTCACTTAGGCAAATGAGACAAATACTACAGGACTCCAGGAAAGAATTTCATTGGTTACTAGCTGGGATCTACTCTGTTAGGGTTGAATCAGAAAAAAACATTCCTAACTTGTACTTTCACAGATTTTATCACTGATGTTCATTCATCTCTTTTTGTAAACATGCTCATGTATACATGTATAAACATGCAAAATACACTTATACACATATAATATAAATTAATAAATCTAAATCATAGACACAGTCCTATAGATCACATGAAATAATTTCCTAGAAAAACTATACTAAAATTCTGATAGAAATTTCCATTGCAATTTTGCTTTCATTTTCATCCAATCCCAATGACAATAAGGGGGGAAAATCAAATAACCTCTGGAGAAGAAATATTTTTAAATTACTTGCTATCAAATTCTAATTTTAATGTCCTGCTAATAGGAATATAAAGGAAAAAATTGAAAATGGAAGGAGGGTTCCCAAGTGGAGCTCAGGAGGTCAGGGACCTTCCCAGTTGACTCCTGGGCTCTTGGGATGCTATTCAGGACACGGGCCAGAGTATCTAACCAGCACAGGCCCTGCAGCGCTAGGGCTTACCCAGGCTAGTCTACTAGTGCTTGGGGGGCCTCCATTTCTGCACCCTGAAATGCCTGGAGGACCAGGTGGTTCCAGGGATCAAACTGAAGTCGTCCCATGTGATGTATGAGCCTTAATTCCTATACTATCTCTTTGGCCCCTAAAGAAAATATGTAGAAATGGGAAGGCAGATGGAAAGTTTAACTAATGAAGCAGAAACAAAATTAGTTAAGCACAAACAGCCATGATAAAACATCAAAACTACAATAGATATCTGTGGAAACTTATTACTAAAACAAAGCATTTTTATTTTTCAGCACCATTCAAACTATTTCTTAAAAAATAGAAATATGAAATAAAGGTCTTTTTTTAATATCTTAGAATACAAAAAGGGCTGGAGCGAATACAAAATATCTTCACACTACATTTAACTCCCCAACTCTGTGGATCTCACTCTTAGCTATAGATGGTTATTCAAGAGAAAAATGTTACAGAATGCTTTAAAAGAAAAAGTGTAAAAAAGAGTCTTCTAAATTGCCCATATTATTTTGGGTGACAAAGTTTTTGTTTTTTTGTGGCAGTAGTAGGTAGAGACACATCCCATGATGCTCAGGGGTTATTTGTGGCTCTTCACTCAGGGACCATTCCTGGAAGTCTCAGGGGCCCAGCGTGGTTTCGGAGATTGAATCTGGGTAGGTGGCATGCAAGACAAAAATGCCCTACCCACTTTACTAGCACTTCAGCCTTTCAGAATGTTTCCTTTAAAATGAAATAAACTTATATCTGGGTATGTAGCTCAGCGGTAGAACAGTTACCTTGTACATTTGATACCCTAGTCTCATCCCTGACTTAAATACAAAATGGGGGGAGAAAACCTAAATGAATGTCAGTGAATATCAATGTATTTCAAAGAAGTGAAAAAAACCTGATTTTATTTCAATTCCCATGATATTTTGAAGCACTATAAAATATAAAATCAAGAAAATAAAACCGTTTCTATTTCAGAAGTGCAATGTAAAATAAACATAACTTGGGAAATTAAAGTCAGAATTAAAGGATAATAAACTTCTTGGAACTTTTCCATCTTAGTCATTTGACCTTTAATATGGAACCTCATCAAGAGATGATTCAGTCTTACAGTGTCTGTTATTTTAGAAGAGGTACCATAAATATATTACCCAATAAATTGTTCGAGATGAATTCAATAACCTTTTTAGTTTGAGAAAATTCTCATTTTGTAGCTGCACTTCTCTCTGACAGAAACTGAATGAAACAGTTTTGCATTAGCCACATATCATGAGAACTGGCACCAGAAACAAAGAAGCCAATTCAAAGGCTTGCACTTCCACAATTTTGTAAGTCAGTAATACTGAGATAAAGGCAACACTTTCTTTGCTGTACTGAATTTCAGAAAAGAGATTTGTAAGAAACAAACTTTCGGAGAGAAAAGCATCCTACCTTTTCAAAAATTCCATATATTCGGTATGCTTGATGAGTCCTGTCCTCATCATTATTGTCTGAAAGCATTGTCGATCGATGGCCCAGAGTTTCACGTTTACTAGAGCTAAAGAGAAAGAAAGCAAACAGGAAATATTAGAGATTTTTCACTCCAAACAATATCTTGCTAAAGAGGGGATTTAGTTTTGAGAGCTGAAAATGGTTTTCATTTAAAGCTTTTATTGACTTACAAGAGCACTGATATTTTACACTTATAGGGCTAAAACACCATGGACGCCACGAGAGAACAAGGATCTCACCCATTTCCTATGGTCTCCCCTCAGGCTGGTCACTACCTTCCCCCAAACATCCTCACTTCCCAGTTCCATTAAGCTCATTCAAGGTGCTTGCAGTAGAAACTGTCTAGATCTACATCCTCATTTTGTTTCTTTACATTCCATACACACAAAAATGAGGGTGTCAGTATTTGTTATTCTGATTCGCTTCACTTAACATGTTAACTTCCTAATCTAGCCACGTTGTAATAAACTGTGAGAGTTCATATTTTTCTCATAACTCGAGTATCTGTGTGAGTGCGGGAACGCATGTGTGTATTTATGCATCACACCTGACTCTGTTGGTGATCGTTTGGACTGTTTCCAATTTTCTCCTATTGTAAATAACTCTGCAATGTACAAAAGTAACCATATGTCCTTTTAGGTTATTTTTTTTTATCTTAGTCTAACAGCAGAAGTGAAGCAACAATCCCACCAACGGTGAATGAGATCCTTTTCTTCTTTTTTTTTAAAGATTATTTTTTTGAATCACACATTTTTTGAGATACAGTTACAAGTTTGTTCATGATTGGGTTTCAGTTATGCAATGTTCCAACACCCATCCCTTCACCAGTGTACATTTCCCACCATCAGTGTCCCCGGTTTCCCTCCAACCACCCACCACCCCCGTCTCTGACAGGTACTTTTCTTCTCTCCTCTTCCTTTCCCTCCCCCTATCCCTTCCCATTACCCCTCTGTCTCTACCCATCTCCCTCCTGCTCCACTTTCAGGCATTATAGTTTGCAGTACAGATACTGAAAGGGGATCGCAAATATCCCTTCGCCTATTTTCAACACTCAGTTCTTGTGAGGGTTCCTTTTTTGGAGGAAAAGAAAATGGAAAAGGTAGTGCTTGCTGGTGTGAGATGATATCAAGTATCCCTGATATTATCAAGTATTCTTACAGGCAAAAATGAGCTTAGCACATTCTATACCGATATTATGGCTCTGGTTGTTACTATGATTTGAGAGAGGAGAATGACTTTGTAAAATATTGACAGTAATTCATGGTCACTGTCACTGTCCTCCCGTTGTTCATCAATTTGCTCCAGCAAGCCCAGTAATGTCAGTAATGTGAGACTTGTTACTGTTTTTGGCATATCGAATACGTCATGGGTAGCTTGCCAGGCTTTGCCATGAGGGTGAGATACTCTCAGTAGCTTGCTGGGCTCTCTGAGGGGGCGGAGAAATTGAACCTGGGTTGGCCATGTGCAAGGCAAACGCCCTACCCGCTGTGCTATCTCTCAGTGAAAGTAAATTCATTACTACACATGAAGTAAATTACATGGATATAAAAAGGGTCACAAACAATAACACTCCCTTGTAATTATCGATAATGCTGTTAATGACTCATATGATCACATTTTAATAGTAAAAAGGACAGGTAAAAATTCAATTTAAAAGTTTAGGGGAAATTCTAATATAAAGAATGGCCAAGGAAAATTAAGACAATTATTTCTACATAAAGCTCACTTCATTAACTGACCTATGCCCACAGTTACCACATGATGCTAATTCAAATATTTATTGAATTTTAATTTCTATTCTTACATACGCCAGTCTTTTACAATTAAGCTTTGAAAATGAATACCATAGATTTTCACCAATTGATCTATTAATCACATGACTAAGAAAAGTTTAGGAAAGATAGATATTGCACTGTAACAAACAATATATTTATCACGGTAACTTATGGTTTAAATAACAAGTACATTAAGAAATCTTCGTAAGTAAAACACATTCTGGAAAAAACACTTCTATTTTGTTCAAATTTTCAAATTGTGATAAAATATCTGTTATTTTATGCACCAAAGAAAGTAAATTTAAATTTAGAGAATGAAAACAGGTATTTATGGGGCCAGGATAGAGAATAAAGAGCAAAGCAGAGAAAGAGGGAAGAAAGCAATTCTCTATTCACAACTCCTAGACTTAGCCCAGTGTGCGTGCAGCAATGTTTCCAGATATGGAGGTGAGAAAGAAAAGTTCAGAGTAATCAGGCCGTGAGTATTTGCAGGCGGGGCACAGGCCACACGGGAAAAAAGAAGACAAGTATTGTGCAGTGCTGTAAACCCCTCTTTAAATCTTCCCCTGCAAAACTGTTTGAAGTCAAGAAATTGGAATACAACTTTCCTATGGCTAGCTCTTTATTTGAGAATAAAGGTGCTCAGTCAAGTAGAAACACAAAGTTGCAGGGACAGGTGGTGTGTGCAGGACTCCGTTCCACACATCCTTTAAAAAGGACAATTCATCAAAGACAAGAGATATCTCAAAAGCATTCTCCCACAGTCTCTGGTTTGTCTCCTGCATCCAGGCAGCTTTCCAGAGTACCTGCTTACTTGAGATAAACCATAAGACTGAGGGAAATGCCCCCGCAAGAATTTTGAAAATCAGAAAAAGATTTATGAGTATAGAAGTGGGACTGGACAGCATCTGATTTAGGACAGAGGTGGACAGGGTAAGTAGGTGTGGAAAGCACATTAACTGGAACCCAGTGAGGAGTGGACTCAATCTGTTGATGTCCAATCAGGGAGGCAGACAGAAATGGCTGAGATACCTGCAAGCAACACAAAATGGGAGAGTAATCTGATGGAGGCCCTGGGAAACCAAGTATATAGAGCAAGGATTAATCTGATGAACAGAAACATATTAGAGAACGTTAACATGTTGACACTAGTGCTGCAATTTATATTAGTTAGCAAGTGTAAGCCAGTGGTAGTACACACGGTCTTCAACACATTAAAAGACACAAAACACCCCCCCCCAAAAAAATTTGAAGTGATTTACTGTGGGCATATCAAACCAAGTTTTCTGGTGTTTTGCCACATGTGCAGTGGGAGATAAACCAGTGCTAGGGATTGAACCCAATCCCCCCCCCACACTTGCAAATCAGGAACTCTAGTTCATCATCTCCTCAATCCCTCGAAAAAATTTTGAATGATGGTATGTATGTTTTCAAAAGGCTGGCGGTGCTCTATCTCTCCCGCTGCCCACGTTTGGTAGTCTTAGGCCACTTCCCCCACCCCAGGGAGGTTGATGGCAATGGGCAGGCAAAGGAAGGAACGAGGGCCAGGCTGGTCAGTATCAATTGTAGTTTATTCCAGTCTTCACTTTCTTCTGCTTCTCTCTCCCAAGCCTGAGCTCCTCTCACTTCTGACTCTGCCCTCTGGAGCCCGTGCCCCCTCTGATTTCACAGTCTTAGTTTATATAGCAATCACGTAGGGTGGTGACACAAAGGTGGGTTGAATATTAACAAATCAACAAAGAGAGGTAGGATCACTCCTAGAGGAGATCAACTCAAGGATAAAAACTCATCTAAAGAGATTTTTCCAGATTACTAGGAGATCCGATCAAGGGTGGGATCCCAACAGATCTAGGGTGAGATCCCAACAAGGGTGTGTTCTTTCCTCAGCTAGTAATCTACTTAAATAGTTGTAGTAAATCTACATCCAATATTTCTAGCAATGCCATTCTGTATGAGCACAGTAAGAGTTATAAATTTACAGTCTGGTTCTTCCTGAAGATATATATATATATATATCACAGTCCTCACGCCAAGTTAATCTTCCTAGCCCCAGCAGTGTCCTAGTCTCGTTGTTACCTTTGAATCATGACAGCATTTGTCTATGACCATGCCCTCAACTTATAGTTGAGTATTGTGGTGCTCTGGTCTGGCCCATTTTGATGCTGGCATAGCTCACAGCTTGCCTTGGGTCCATTCAGTCCCTCATTGGGATCCTGCTTTTGGCGTGTCAGGAACTAAGGGCAACTGAGTCAAGAAAGCAGATGCCCAGGAGTAAATATTATTTGGAGTCAATCAACTCCCAAGATACAAAAGCATAATATTAACTGTCTTCCTGTGTCCATACAGAAAGGACATTGCTTTAAGGTAAACTATGCAAAAGATAGAACTTACAAGTTTACTGTCCTTAGAAGGATCTGATCTTACAAGCTAACAGAATCTGATTAGGGAGAAGAGGTGGTTAACTGGCTGGGGAGGAGAGCATAGAGAAGAGTTTACAGATAAACAGAGGAATGGGAGTGACTCAGGGAGCACTGTGATGGGTGTAACCTGATAAACCTAAGCTCCCTGTGGCAAGGGAGAAAGGACAAACCAATGTTATCCTACAATGGTAAGAAAAAAAAATTCTATATCTATTACCATTCTTAACACCACCCAATCCTTTCATATATACATATGAAATGTGACATATATGAAATATATACAACATATGTATGACAGCCAATTTTTTTATTGGAAAAATGGAAACAAAAAATTGTTGTCATATTACTACATGCATTTTACATTTTTGGTAGTACTTGGGAGTTGAAACTAGGTCCTGAGACCTACAAATTATGCACTTTATCACTAAGCCATATTCCCAATCCTTTACATGCACAGCGGTAGGGCATTTGCCTTACAAGCGGCCAACATGGCTGACCCGAGTTCGATTCCTCAGCCCCTCTCGGAGAGCTGGCAAGCTACTGAGAGTATCTCGCCCGCACGGCAGAGCCTGGTAAGCTACCCGTGATGTATTGATATGCCAAACACAGTAACAACAAAGTCTCACAATGGAGACGTTACTGGCCCCACTCAAGAAAATCGATGAACAACGGGAGGACCGTGACCTGTGACCCTTACATGCACATTTTAAATGTATCTTAAAGAAATGACCAGAGGTAGAATGAGTAAAACACATGTCTAAAACATTGCCTTGCCAAAGACATAGTCCCAGCAGGACTAGAGAAAAAATTTCTATTATAGTTCCTTAAATGATGTATGATAAGAGTGACTG